AATTAGTATAGATTAATGGTTGGTCAAAGAAGTCGTACAACTTGAACGGAGGTGTGGACTGTGCGGTGTACATCTATTGTCCGGAATTCGGACCCTCAGATAGAGTAAAATAATTCGGAACAACGCACGAATACCGTACGAGTCGTCTGTGGCCCAATGTGTGATTGACGGCGGCTCTCGCCCGCCGCCGGTCGTCCCACGATACGGAGACGTGTCTGTTGTGGAGAAAGACCTTCCTGTCTTCCGGATATTGAGATTTGAAAGCTGTGAGATGGTCAACAACGTCCCAAACCGATCCGGACACGAGAAGCAAAAAGCGAACCAAAGTGATGACATATACTCGTCCGAGGGGGTACAAGAAACCCGTATAAACTGCCAGGGCCAGATGAGCCGAGAACACATTAATAATTTACACTGGAGCAACACACTATTGCTTTCGGGTTTTATGTAATACCTGGGTTCACGGTCCCATAAGTTTGAGTGGACAACTTGGAGAAGCTCGTGTGACTTACGAGATTAAAGCCGCCCCGGCGAGCGTCGCGGCCGCAGCCCCACTCTGGATTGTTACCGCGGTCAGTCGGTTGAGTCGCTCGAGTACGCTGGTAGTGCCTGAGTCATGCAGGTAAATAAATAAATTACCAATTGCGCACCTCTCTGTCTCTGTCAGAGTCTTCCTGGCCTTCCTGAACTCCCAGAGAAGCGCTGATGCGATTCCAGCATCTACAGCGACCTCGGTTACCAACCAGAGCCTAAGTGGGTCAAATTGCACAAAATACGCAATGGGATGAATGTCACGAGAGTGAAGGTTACGGTAAGGGACACACGCTGCGGGAATTTTGAACTTCGGGCGGTCCCCGAAGGAGGTGTACAGCGTGAGCAACAAACTGCATGTAAAAACGCTGCCAAACTGCGCAGGAGGTAGTGTGGGTATGAAGTGATGCGCAGAAACAATGATTCGGATACCGAGATGATTATTCCAAAAGACAGGAAAAGAGCAATGAGCGTGTTTTGGGTGCTGGATTTTGACGGAATTGAGCTAGCTGTCGAGAGAAACGGATAGAGAAGGGCGATGAAGCACGTACAAGCGCCAATATCGGAGCACCAGAAAAGCCTCAACCAAAGCAGCAAGCACACCGGTGGCGAAGCCATATAGCGGGATAGGCTAGACTGCTGCAGTTAACCGAAACAGGATACATGTGGAATTGGCGTACCCAGTGTATGTTGTCCAGGTACTCTAAATCGCCTGCAAGTATCCAGTAGGCCATGAGGGGGGAAAGATGCTTTTGAGACGTACCAGCATGTGTAATGGTGTACTATATAGTCATACAGTCATGAGTTGTCCAGCATAGAACGTGAAAGCTCACGAGGTACACACAGATATAGTCACCGACGATGGACAGGGTGTCAATAAGCAAGGCGACCGTTACCAGCGTCTGCAAAAAAACTGGGTCCGGGAAAAATTAGTTGTAAGTGAGAAGGGAATACCTTAAACTTCCAATCATCTTGTTCGAAGTGGCGAAAGTAGTAAAAGCTTTGAATGACTTCAACCGTGTACAGAATCTGGCGGCTAACTTCAGGCTGCATCTGAGTGCTCAAAAAACCCGGAGCTTACGGAGCTGGCCCAGGTTCCAATGAGAAGGCATCTGCTGGCTAAAATTAACTAGCAGGCTAAAGAGCGTAGACAAAATTTACCCGGTAACTGTGTCAAGAGCTGGGAGAGACATTGGAAGAAGGTGTGGACCGAACTGTCAACGAGTTGCTGTCCTCGTCGTCATTAAGTACCCAGGCTAAACTACACAAATTTAGACGAGAATTAAACCAAATGGGATCACGTTACGAAAGTTGTCCACAATTACCTACTTGAGTCCCTGCTAGAAGCGCGTATATTTGTGCCCCATTTCCTGCATACTGATATAGATCTTGCCGCACTCTGAAGCGACAAGGGTCAAGACCGCCGATCGTCAAACAGCTATGGGTAAGCGGCAGTGTGGTTGCAGCTTCAGGCGAAGACCCACACTTCAAGTTGCAAAACGAAATGTCCTCCTGTTATGAGGAGCCTTTATATAGATGGCTCCACAATTCATAAGAGGGTGGCGCCGAAATGTCATCAGCGACAGGGAATTTGGAACGGCGTTAAGTGCATTGTTCCCAGATTGTCAGTCCCCTTGTTATCCTCGTGGTACTCTGACTTCGGAAACGGCGGAAGTGGCGAAAAGAGACGGCAGGATTAATGGCCTCCTGAAGTGGTACTAAGAAAAACTGGCCGAGGGGCGAGGCATACTCGCTATGGAGCATCGAGTTGAGTGATGCGAACAGGTGCAGAAATTAATGGCGCAAATTTCTCGACGATCGAGACGCACTCACTTGCCGCCGTCACGTGCGGGGGTGCTGCTGCGCGTGCATGCGAGGCGTTCCAGGTGGGTTTAGTCCGTTCTTTCTTCATCAGGAAAATCCCAAGTTGCTTTATAGACCGCGAACGACGAGCATAGACCGGCATAGACATTAGAGACCTCATAGTAAACCGGTCACCCCAAAACCATGGACATGCACTAGATTCGACTTAATTTGATAGCTTGAGATGAGCTTGACTACGGCTTGACGGTGCGCGCGGAAAACGCGCGAAACAGGGAAGACAATGAAGGAGAGAACTGGGGTGCCGTGTTTGTGTGGAAGAGGGAAGGACGAACGGGGTGGGAGGAAGAGGAAAGGACGGCGCTTGTTAATGTATCCCGATCAAAACGAAACATTTGCGCACACGTGACAAACTTATGGCACGGGTTCGGACTCATCCGGACCGCTTAACGTTGTCGCGCGACATACACCGCGCCTGCCTTTAAGTCGATTGAATTTGAGATACTCTGAGCGAGCCGATCGTGACCTCAGAATCATTTCGGACCATAGTTTTTTCGATGTAAATTGCACGCTTAATTCGGCCTCTGGCGACAGCAAATTCCTTCTGCATGGGTTCTGTTGGAAGGTACAGTCACACAGAGGTTCGGCCCAGAGCAGGATATATAAGCAAGAAGTGGGGTACAAGTGCGATTGGGGAGCTAGTCTAGACGGTGATACGAGTCCAAAGGAATATATATAGGGTGATTGGGAGGCGCAGTAAAGTAGACGGAGAGGGGTAATGCCAGGACGACGCGTGACAGGCCCGCATTTCAACAGGTTTAGAGCTACAGTAGCATTCTTCCACGGCCCATGAAAAGTACCGCTGAATTTACTACTTGATTGACCCTCCGCCGCAAAACGATTGAAGTCGTAAGTGCAACGGGGTTTACAATTTCCCGCGCCGATATCGATCATAATAATCGCTACGTATACCAGTCCATTGGGTAGTTGATTTCTACCTTTACTTCGCTTCCCCTTGAGAGTACATGAGAATAGGGGCAGTCAGAGTAGAGGATTATACACAGGGATTCTCGACAGATTATTGATGAATCGCCTCCGGAGACATTCTGACGGTGCAAAGTTGGATTCAAGTGGAATCCATAATCACGCCATAATCCAAACCATTTTTTAGGCTGGTCAAAATTATGGTGGGGATTATGGAGGGATTATTGACTTTTAAAATTCAGTGATCCTTTGCAGAATCCCACCACAATCCTTCCTTAATAATAATAAAATATTCTACCACGTGAGAAGCCCGTAGAACACGATAGTAGCACCAGAATTTTATAGACCTTCAGAGTTTAACATAGACCATTGTAGTACCAGGGTAATTTTATAGACACTGAAAGACCATCCAAGACCTGTATAGTCTGGTGTGTGTCTATAGAGACATTTTGGTTTTTCCTGATGTTGTTCTTCTCCTTTGTCAAACAGTGCTGACAGTGATTTCTCTGACCTGCAGACCCCCCTCAACCTTGACTTTGACGCCGACCTGCAGTGCATGTACACACTCCTTGCACGCATCCCCGCAAACCTTGTTTGTGTCATTAGTTGGCAGATCTCAAAGGTCAGTGGCCTCACATGCCGACTCGGATGAGTCCTGTGCATCCCTCATCAAGCATGGCACTATCAACTGTGGTATGAACCTCGTCCGCTGCATTAATTAGCACTTTTTTCTTCCATCTAATCCAAATTTATATGTGTGAAGATCATCCCATCACCCTTGCGGTTGAGTCGTCCGGCACCATGGTCGCCTCCACACCCTCCGTTGTAACTTGTCTCCGTACCGCATTGGACCAACCAGTGCACCCTCTCCGCCGGCGCAGCGACTTCCGAGTCCATTGTGATCCCTTACACCAGGTATCAATTTTTCTTGGGCTCCACTTTACTCCCCAGTATTCTTGACCAATCTGCTCAATGAGCTTATACTGCGGCGCGTGATCATGCAGTATTTCTGTACATTGTTATCATCTGCATCCATTTGTTTGTGTTCTCGTTCCTCTCCTGTGCCGCCTGAAAGCAATTAAAGCATAACATTCCTACTCAAAGAATGCACCATGAGGGGTGGCGAGGAATGACGACCTTGAGCCGGAAAAGCCACTGCACGTGCGGTGGTTGTACGGTAGATCACCTTGGGGAAGAGGGTAAAGATAAAGACTTGAAAGAGAGTGAGCAGGGCGAGAGTCAAACTCAAACGGTCCAAAAACATCTGCAAGGGCGGACCGCACAACTAACAACGCAGTCATTGATACTTTCCTGGGAATATTCTCCTACTTTCTATATCATCCACCTACCCTATTCAAATAAGTCCACCGACCCTATTATTTGAATAAAAACCTGTTCAAATATTCCGCGGGACATAACACCAGAGTCGTAAACATTGTGTAGCTATTGTGGGAAGTGAGTAAGTAAGTTAGAAAATGCAACAAAAGCAGTTCTGTTGAACCCGGGGTGTCTCAAATGAATGCATAAGTCAGAATTAGAAGTCTTACTGTTACACCAAGAACACATCATTGCTTTACACATACGGAGGACATGAGGTGCGGCTCAAAAAAAAGAATGAAATCACGGACCTTGGTTTTGAGCACAAAGACATTGTCTACACCTTTGGCGCCCTCCGGGAGTCGAACCCGGGACCCCTCGGTTGTTCAACTGAAAGTGATGATATGTTACCGTTACACCAAGGGCACAACAGCAACAGCAACGAAGCGTAGCTATTGCGGGAAGTTTTTTAAAAAATGGACAAAAACATTGTGTCAAAGCGAACAGGCGCTCTCCGGGAGTCGAACCCGGTACCGCTCGAAAGTACTTTAGTGAGCATGTGTTACCGTTACACCAAGGGCACAATCATGATCTGCAACATATGGAGGATGTGAGGTGCAAAGCAAAGAACAGTCAGAAGAAAGGCTTTCAGGATGATATAGGTGCCTTCCGGGAGCCGAACACGGGACCCCTCTTATTCATGGAATGAAATCATGGGCCGTAGGTTTGATAACCCAACAAAAACAGTCAGAAGAAGAAAAAAAGCAAGAAGAGAAATGGACAAAAAGCAACTCTGGATGAGGTAGGCGCCCTCCGGGAGTCGAACCCGGGGTTTTTCAAATCAATGGACAATTTAGAATGAGAAGTGTTACTGTTACACCAAAGGCGCAACACATGTTGCCGCCAACATATGGAGGACACGAGGTCTGGTTGAAGACAAGGGCCATGGTCTTGGCAACGAAAAAGACGGTCCCCGAACGTGGAACACTCAGAAGAAAAAAGGAAGGAGAGAAATGCCACAAAAACAAAACCATTCATCAAGACCTAGGCGCCCTCCGGGAGTCGAACCCGGGACCCCTCTTATTCATAGAATGAGCAGTGAGGTAATGTTACCGTTACACCAAGGGCGCTACACTAAATTGTCCAACATAGTGAGGTGCGGCTGCAAAAATCAAACCATATACATATCACGAACCACGGTTTTGCCCAAAACAATATTGTATACACGTTAGGCGCCCTCCGGGACTCGAACCCGGGACTCCTCGGTTGCTTAAAGGAAATTGAGGGCGTTACACCAAGGGCACTGGTGCCAATTGTGTGGCTACTGTGGCAAGTGAGTAAGTTAAGTATGACAAGAAAAAAGTCTTGTGAATCAATTTGAGAGGTGTTACTGAGATTGTAATTGAACACGGTGTATTTGATTGGAAAAAAATCTAAGTAGTGAGTGAATTGACGAAGGTATTTGAAGGGGGTCAGGACAAAAACTATGCAGCTGGAATATTAGGCGCCCTCCGGTAGTCGGATGAAGCAGCCCCCAAAAATTTAAAAGCAACAAGAGGTTATTCAGGCGCCCTCCGGGAGTTGAACCCGGGACCTCTGAGTCTCGGTTCTTCGAGTGAGATGTGTTACCGCGGCTACACCAAGAGCACAAATCATTGCTGTGCACAACATACGGAGGATACGAGTGTCCAAAAAAAATCAAATCACGAACCACGGTTTTGACAACCACAAGAATAAGCTATGTAAACCTTAGGCGCCCTCCGGGAGTCGAACCCGGAACTTCTCGATTATTCAAAAGAGCAGTGAGATGTGTGTTACCGTTACACCAAGGGCACGTAGCAACAGCAGCAGGCGTAGTTGCTGTGGCAAGCTTCTACAAAATGGACAAAAACAAAAGCATTCGTATTCAAGGCATAGGAACGTGTCGGAAGAAGCAGCCCCCAAAAAGCAACAAGAGATCATTCAGGCGTCCTCCGGGAGTCGAACCCAGTACCACTCGAATTCATGCTGGATAGTGAGTGTGTTAGCATTACACCAAGGGCGCGTTCTGATTACCCATCCCTTCCTTATCCTACCCGACCTCTGGCCGACCCGATGACGCACACGTGCGCGCGGATCGGGCTTGGCAGCGGGGAACTCGACATGCCACGAGGCGGAGCGAGGCGGGATGTGATTGGCGGCCGGGTGATAAGTAATGAGGGACCCCGGGGAGCGCGGCGCTTCTTCCGGGATCCGCGCATTGCGTTTGCGTTTGTCTCCAACTCAGGAGGAGGGGAGTACACACAAGAGAGCTGCGCAGCGCCCACATCGGAATAAACGCCCCCGACATCGGAGTGAACACCCCGCCGAGTTAGTCGACTCACCCAACAAACGCCGCCCCTATTCATATTCATAATAGGACACTCACGCCTCCCGCTAACTCCGTGATGCGAAATTCGCCACGCGCCAACAGTACCGCACGCGCAGATCGATTCGGTTCGGCTCGCGAGGAAAAGAAGCGCAGGCAGGTTGCAACCCGTTGGGCGGGGCGCAGGGTGCCGTGATCCAGCTGCACCGCAGGGCACTGGCGTCTTTAAAAGCCGAGGACACCCACCCACGCACGCGCTTCCCGTCCCCCGTCCCTCCGCCGCCTGCCTGCCACTACTTTATAAGTGCTATTCCCGGGTAGTGGACAACACTATAACAAAGGACAAAGGCTATAAGAGTGAGTGCGCGCATCCCGCCCTCCTGACCACCGCCGACAGCCGACAGGACGCGGCGCCATCGCCATCGCCCGATCACGCTTGCTTGTATCGCGTAAAACTCGTGCCGCCCGCCGCCGCCGTCGCTTACCTCCGCCGACCTTCTGGAACCGCTTCTTGGAACAACCAACCGCCCGTCATCTGCCCCTGCTTTAGGTCCCGCATCTTGGCGCACCCACGACGACGACTGGCTTTCTTTGACTGTACACGACTACGACGATGCCCGAAGCGATGGACACCGAGAGCGAGGCGCCGCCTATAGCTACCCTCGCTGGTTCCTCTGAATCCCCCTCACACCATTCAACCAATTCCCATACGATTCCAGCAGCTTTACCGACGACGACGACGACGAAGCAAAATATTACCACCGAGGACGTGCCGATGCTCGACTCCACGAAGGAGGCCGCCCCTGTTGCTGTGGGTGCGAAGGTCGCCAGCACGAGCACGGGCACGAATAAGACGGACGCGAGCGCGCCGGCGCCGAAGTTCACGTTGACGATCCCTGTGGAGGGGGGTACGATGGGAGGGTGAGTGTCTTTTTGGTATTCTTTGGTTTTGGATGCCGGGTTTGGATGTGGGCGGATGTGCGCAGTTGTGGGTGTGGGCAGGCGGGAGGGGATGTGTGCCGTCGAGACACGTTGGTGTCGCGGGTGGCGAGAGTGGAGGGGTGGACGACGCATGTGACGCGCGGGATCGATGTCCGTGCGTACCTGCATCGCGCATCGTCGCGGTGTCGCACTCGCCCTTTTCTCTTACTTTCTTCACCGCGCGGGTTAGGTTTCGTCGCCTTCGTACTTTTTCCCTTGATACCACTGCACGATATCCTCTTCGTCTTGCGGTTGCGGTTGCGTGCGCCGGAGTAGGCATATGTGCCGTCGACGTGCGGGTGTTTGTGCCTGAGCCTCGAGGGCCGGCGGATGTAGGAGAGCGTGGGCGGCGTGGCAAGGCGTCATATGCCGGCCCTCCCGTTTTTTTTCTTTTACTCTTGACCGTCCGCGTCCTCTTCGCGGGCGGGGCATACGCATATACGCGTACTCGTTTCACCGCGTCGGTCGCGTACTTCGCCCCAAACTACCTGCGAGGTCGCCTCCCCCCTTCCTCCCTTGCCCCCGTTCTCATCTCCCCCTCCTTCCTCCCTCCTCTCCTCCTCCCCTGCCTTACTGACGTTCCCACCAGCGCCCCAAACCCCGCAAACACCCCCGCCTCCCAACTCGCTGCCCTCCTCTCCTCCGCCCTCGCCTCCCTCGACACCCTCCGCGACGAGCTCGGCACCATGACCAAACGCGCTGAAAGGGCGGAGCGCCTGCTGGGCATGGTGGGGGTGGTGGTGGGCGAGGCTGCTGCTCCTCCTCCCGCTGCTTCGACTTCCACGGGCGCCGACGCCGCCGCGGGTACCGACACCGTACCAGGCAGTGGCAGTAACGACCCGAACTCAAACGCAACAGACCCCGCCCTCCCCCCCGCCCCCCACCTCCACGCCGCCTACACCTCCGCCCTCGCCCTTTCCGACGCCGCGCGCCTCTCCGCCGAGCACGCGCGCGACGAGGCCCTCGCGCGCCTTACCCTCATCAAGGAGAACTGGGCACAGCTGGACGCGTACCTTGGGGAGGTGGAGGAGAAGGGGAGGGACGCGCGGGGGGGGATGGGGCGGGTCGTTGGGTCTGCGTCCTCCTTTTCGCATGTTGGGGGGGCATCTCATCCCGGGGAAAGAGGAATAGGTGGGGAACGAGGTGAAGTGGGAGGCAAGCTCGTCCTGCTCGACGTCCCGCACATGGCGCTCGCCCCCAGCTCTGCCTCTACCTCCACCGCCGGGGTGTACCCGTACCACAACCTCCTCCCGCACAGTACCAACGCCAATTACGGGTACCCCGCGTATGGCGCCCCGCAGTATTACCACCGCGACGAACGCGAACGCGAGCGTGACTCCTCGCGCCGGAGGTCGACGCGCGATCGCGATACGGGGGCGTTTGGCGGGTTGCCGTTGCCGCCGTTGCCGAACGCCGGCACCACCACCACCAACCCCGCCGGTTCTTCCAACTCGATTTTGAATAATAACGGAGGCGCACGCACGGGCGAACGCCGGCCGCGGACGGAGAGTATGGAGTTTGGCGTCGGCGGAGGCGCCCGCGGGGATGCGCGAGATGCGCGAGGGGAAAGGGAAGGTGGTGGGAGGGGAGAAAGGGGGGAAAGGGGGGAGAGGGACGCGAAGAGGGCGAGGGTGGATGGAGAGTATCGGGATGATGTGCGTATACGTGTTTTTTTTTGTGTTATTTTGGGGTTTTGGGAGGGGCGGGGTTTTGGGGACTGCGTGTGCATTGGCCCTGCGTGGGCGGACTCGGCGGCGGCGGGACGGGATGGTGCGCCTCGCGTCTCTCTTTGGCGGGCGCGGGCGGGGAGACGGTCGGCGTCTTTTCTTTCTTTTCCTTCTCATTACCCCGGTCTTTTCGTGGACCGTTTTATTTTATTTTTACTTCGTCGGCGCCTCGCTGGGCTGGGCGTAGCGCGTGCGGATGTATTCGAGTCGTCTGGGCGCCCCGCCGACGGACTTACTCGACGACGATCTTTGTTCGCAAAGTGTCTTCCACTTCGTCTTCGTCCCGTCTCCTTCATCTTCCATTTTATTATTCGCTTCCCTTCCCGCTTCGTTTATATCAACTATTGACGCCCATCTCTAGTACCACCCAAACCCAAACGCCCCATACTACCCCACCTCCACCTCTTCGCGCTACCCCGTCGCCTCCCTCTCGCGCCTCCCCCCCGCGTCCTCCCTACCCGGCCCGTCCTCGCGCCCACACACCGCCGGCAGCGCGACCGGGGGCGGCGCGCACCGACAGCACACGCTCGATTCGCAGCACCCGCACCACCATGCGCGCGAGGGGCGGCGACACAGTGGGGATCGGCATAGTGATGGAGGAAGAGGCGATGGTGGGGGAGGAGGGGGAGGGAGGGACCGGTCCCCGAGCACGGCGGCGTCGGACGACCTCGACGCGATGCTGCTCGAGAGCGCGAATGCGTCGCCTAGGCCGCACTCGCACTCCCACCACCCTCAGGCGCATGCGCACCCAGTGCAAGGACACGCACCAGGGCAGGGGCAGGGACAGGGGCAGGGGCAGGGGCAAGGGCGGTCGCCGGAGTGGGCGCGCAGCAATACGTTGGAGGCGCCTGTGTTGGCGCAGGTGCAGCAGCAGCAGCAGCCGAGTCGGGCGGGGAGCGTGGGTGGGGGTGTCGCTGCGTACCCAGCTGTGAGTTCGGCGCCGCAGGCGACGGCGACGCCGGGGAGGAAGGGGACTGCGGGGAGTGTGGGGGTGCCGGTGAGTCGTTTTTTCTTTCATTTATTTTAATTTGGGGATTGGGCAAAGTCGTCCAGGCGATCGTGTTCGCGGAGCTTCCATACGTCGTTTCTCGAATTTCCGATCTTATCCTGTCTCTTTCTTCGCGGGCCCGTGATGCTAACCAATGTTTTTGTGTAGACCCCCGCCGGCTCCCCCTTCCCCGCGACCAACGCGCAGAACCAAAGGATTTGCAGACAGTGTGGGTTGCCGGGGCGGTATAAGGAGGGCAAGTGCGTAGAGAAATGGGGTCCGGGACCGTTGGGGCCTGGGACGGTGTGTGATCGGTCAGTGCTACTTGCTTGCGTTCCCTCGATATCCGAGCTGATGTTATCCCTCAGATGCCGCAAAAAGATGAAGCGTGTCGAGCGCCGCGGGACGCTCGAGCAGCAGATGGCACAGTCGCAGAACGCTGCTGCCGCCGCCGTTGGTACGTACCCCTCCTTCCTTCTTCAAAATGAGATGCTAATTTGTGTGCGTCGCAGCCGCACCCACCCCAAGCTCCTTCCGCACCCCCAATGCCAATGCGCCAATCCACCGCACGGACACGCTCCCGCCCTCCGCGCCCGCCTCCACCCCCGCGTCCACGGCGAACGTGAACCCTGGCGCGGCCTACCGCGAGCGCGAGCCGCCGCAGGAGTCGAGCATGCGCTCGTCCCTCAACAACACCTCGCCCGCGCACCCGTCTTCCCACTCGTCGCATAGCAGTAACAACGCAGGAGGGGGAGGGCAGACGGCGAACGCCGGACGGGTGATCAAGAGCCGGCTGACGCTCATCCCGCCTGCGCCGCCGCCAAATCACTCCGCGTCCGCTTCCACTTCGACGCGTACGCACCACGCAGAGCAGGCGCACGCGCCGAACCTGCTGCCGCCGCTGCGGACGCACTCGCCCATGGAGGTCGACGGGGAGCACGATGCGGACGCGGATGTGGACGTTGACGCGGATGGGGACGGGGAGATGGACGCGGACGCGG